CAGCTCCCTCTCCCCATCACGGTAGCACTTTCCTGTCTATCTAGATGCCAGCTTTTCCCATCACTCAGCCACTAGGAAGAGAGCACCGACTAGACTAGCTCGGCCTGGTGATGCCTGCGTACCCCACATTTTGAGCCAGAGCAGGCTTTAACCTGGGTCCAGCTTTAGCCTGGCTGACCTCGAGCAACATTCCTCTTTGCTTACACGGGCATACCGCCTACCACATACAACGCCATGGGCATTGAATACCATGCTTAATACCCACGTGCAGTGCCTGGCACAATGTAAAGCCTCAGCACCCCCAGCTGTTACCATTCTTCTCATTTTACCATCAGAGGTGGGGACCAAGTCCCAGGTGAGCACAGACACAGGGCAAAAGTCTCGGACCTCACAGGCAGTATCTGGGTCCTAACGCCCTCATCACCCTCTCTCCCCTGCTCTTTCTGCCTCCCCTCCAAGTCTGACACTTTCCAAAAAGAAAGAAAGATCTCTGTAATTCGAGAAGCACACTTGTCCTCCCACACATTCTGAATCCTTCCAGAGAGGCTGCCTAGAGAGATGACCCTAGGGCTGGACTCCCTGGGGGTGGACCCCCAGCCTGCAGGAGACACCCCCTCCACCCAGATACACTGCCATTTTTCATTAACTTTTCTCCCTTATATATTCAGATATCATGATCTGAAATTGGAATGCAGGTGACTCCTAGTTTACTCAGTAGCATTTTCTTTCTGTTTCTTCAAACAATCGATCACAATTTAGATATAGTGAAACACGATGCTCCTCCCCTCCTAGAGAGAATCCTTAATCCCCCTCCTGTGAAATGGAGTGGTTAGAATGACCTCCATTGACAGAAGAGGAAACTGAGGCTCAGTGAGGGGCATGAATGTCCCCTTTGGGTTCCAGGGCACTAGGCTGGAGATGGGTTTCACCCTGGGTCCTCTGGATGGGGGATTTAGGGCCAGGCTGGGAGAAGTGTTCAGTTCTAGAAGAGAGTCCTCTGCCCTCTTTGCTGGAGTAGGCTCCTGTGCGATTCGGGATATGGGAAACAGACGCCTCCTGGGAAGGAAGTGGGGTCCCTGGCAGTGTCTGCTGAGGCCCAGTTGCTTCTTAGGAAAGTGTCTGCCTATGGGAGGGGCCAAAGTGAGGTTCTGAGAGGAATGGTCAGAAGGGCAATCATCAAGACCCAGCTCCTGCCTCCCGGTGATGGTTGCTGGAAACCCCCCTGTGAGCTGACTCCATGTGGAGCTAGGTCACAGCCAGTCCTTACGTCCCCCAGGCAGCATGTGGGCAAACCGACGGGTCAGGGCAGCATGGACTTGGCTCAGAGTTCTGGCAAGCTTTGAACGTGAGAACTGGGCATTTCACAGATGGGAAGTGTGAGGCCCGGATCCGGGCGTTCGGAGGGGGCGGGGTCAAAGGGCCCCAGCAAGGATGGAGAGGTATTATTTTTTCATAATGACAGTGGTGGCTCCCCGTGGCTGGAGCACCCTCTGTGTGCCAGGACTGTGCTAAGCACTTTACACACAACTCTGTGAAGAGCCACTATGAGTGCCCCCACTTTACAGATGAAAGAAATGAGGCTCGGAGAGACTTACGCAACTCTCCTTAGAGGGCTGTGGGTGAGAGAGGGACTGCAGACCCAAGTTCTTTCTACTGTCCATGGGGCTCTTAGGTGGCTTCCCAGAGCATACCTGCCCCTCGTCTGGTATACTTGGGGGATCCCTGCCCAAGCACGGCAGAGGCACTGTGAATTACGCCTGCCCTGGGAAGCCCGCACCCTCACTGCCAAGACCGCACTCGGAGTGCACTCCTAAACGCCTGAGGTAGACGTATGCCCCTTCCTGGGGCAAAGGAGCTGGCTATATTTGCTCCAGGATGGGTTCTAGGTTTACCCAGTTCTGAGCTACGGTAGGGGAGGGAAGTGTCCTGACCTTCCGCTTGTTGTCCTGCTGTGGACAACATGGGGTGCTCTTAGGTGGGGGCCACTGGAGAGAAACTGGGCTGTTTGTCCCTCGATCTGATGGAAGAGGGAGAAAAGACGGGGTTCCATGCCAGCTGGGGAAGGGCAAAGGTGTCCGCGTGCCCCAGATAGGGGAGTGGGAGCTCTCCCCGCCACCGAACAGACGGCAAAGGTTGTAGGTCTGGGATAGGGAGGAAGCAGGTTGGCGATCAGCGGAAATTGGGAACAAGCTAGCCAGTTCTGTGGGTCTTCCCCGGTGCCTGAAAACGCAAAGGCAGAAGGCGTCCGTCTCATCAGAGGTGAGCAGGACGGCCTCGGTTTGACACAAAGCCATCTGTTTGTCCGAAACCTGGCCGCGCCGATGGCAAGGAATCGGATGGGCCTTCAGTCCGGGAAGGGCAGCTCCTCGGGGGCGGCTGCCGCGCCTGCACCCGGGTCGCAGCTGGCGCGCATCTGTAGCCCGGCGGAGCCAGCACCTCCGCGGCTGGCAGGGCGCGGACGCCAACTAGCGGCAACTCCCGCCACTGTGCCTGCCAGGCGGCCCGGCGACCTCGGGCTGGGGACCCAAGGGCCTGCACCCCCCGGTCCCTTGGGTCTGATGACCACGGGCAGCGAGCGCCCTCCCGAGGGCTGGAGCCGTGCCGGGTCCTGCGCCAGGTGCCCGGGCCCGCAAGAGCCCCCCATTCTCTGGAAACTCGTCTGTCAACCCGCCGTAGGGGGAGAGGAAGAAATCAGGCGGAGGGACAAGCAAAGGGCACGAGGCAAACCGAAAATACTCGACACGTGGAATTTGCCGCGACCTGAAACAGTGGGTCGCGGCTCCGCAACCGCTCGAGGGCAGCACGTGTCGCCCGCCTCGGGCCCGGGCCCTACCTGGCCACGACGCGCTGGGCCTTCCCCAGAGACGTTCCTGGAGGTGGGAGCGCCCAGGCCGGATCGCTCGCTTCCTCTGGTTCTGCTGCTCGTGCCAGGCGAGCGAGCCTTGGTCCACGATCGATCGTCAGCTGCCAGGCGCAGGTTCTCTGAAAAGGTCCAGGCAGGGACCTTTGCCGTCCTTGCTTTCGACACGTCCTGAAGACGTGATGCGAGGTCCCGAGGGGGGTAGGGGCCAGCTCTCCCGATATTCCGGGTGAGGCCAGAGTCTTACGCCCCTGGAGCACACGCGGGAGTTGATTTCGTTTGGCGACGACGAAACGGCGCGCGCTGGGCAGGGGTCAGATCCATCATGAGATCCTGCGGCTACCGTCGGATCCTAGGCTTCTTTGCTTCCGAGGCTTGGAATTCATTGTTTTGCACCTGTCGAGGGCCAGAGGCAACGAAAATTTAGCTCAGTCTGTAAAGCGGCGGGGAGGCTCAGCAGGCGTTCGTTCTCCAGAGTCTAGAAGGTGTCTGGGGCGATAATTCGGAAGGATTGGGGCTTGACGTTTCCCGTTGCCCTCCCAGCTGTAGCCGGCCCCAAGGCCTGCTCGACTGACTTAGGAGGCGGGAGAGGCAGGGGTTGTTTGCAGTGAAGCCCAGGAGTGGTTGGGCCGCGCAGCTGGGAGTGGGAGCGGGGACCCAGAGCCAGGCGGGCAGGCAGTGCCTCGGCGAAACTGTCCGCGGTCCCTGCGGCGCAGCCGGAGCACAGGGGCCCAAGAAGAAGTGGAGTCGGACCCGCGGAGGCCACTTTCCATCTGCGTGGAGAAAGGTAATTCTGTCCTCTGGAAGCCGGGGCCCTTAACTTTGCAGCAGTGGTTCAGTTTTCCTTTTGCCGCCGACCCTAGTACTGTTTCACAATGCAGGGCCGTGACTACAGGCGTGGAGGAAAAAAAATCGGGAAAACGCATTTTGCAGGCCTTGTCGTGGTTTTCAAAGAGCCACAGGCCGCCACAACGAAGAACGACGCCGCGAGGCCTGCGAGATCCTGAAACTTGTTTTTAGGGGAGAGCACAGGGGAAAGGGGTTGCTGACCCCAGGATAGTCAGGGTCCCTGGGAGACTCCCTTCCGTCTGTCCCCGGTTTGGCACAGGGGCCACCGAGGCTGGGACCAAAGCCGCGCAGGGCCAGGAGCTGCAGAGCCCGCCGGCCGGGCGTGGATGGCGCGCAAAATCCCGTTTGGGGTGGAAGAGCTTGGGTCAGAATAATTTGCGGGACCAGGGAGGTGCGTAACCTCTTTGGGGCGGCTCCCGGTTGCGCTGTCACCGGCCCTGGGCCCCCGCGGCCCCCAGCCAGGGGTGCAGAAGTCACGAGCCCGAAGCAACAAGAGCGGGGGAAGCCCGGCGGCGGCCCGTGGGGAGGAGGAGCGAAGGGGTTGCGCCCTCGCGTCAGGGAGAGGCGCCCGGGGAAAGGGCTGCAAGGGCGACTTCTGTGGGACCCGGACGTTCTAAGCAAATTTCTAGCGTCGGCGCGGGGCTCCCAGCGCTCTCGGGGGCCCTGGGCTGCTGTTCGGAAGCGTCCTCCGCGGGGCGGGGCCTTCCGCCCCTCCCGCCCGTCCCGCCCCTCCCGCGGGCGGCCTCCGGCAGGCCCCGTTCCTCCCCGCTAACGCAGCCGAAGTGCCCGCGATGGGGGCTCCGCCGATTGGCTGCGCGACGCGTCGCTCGGGCCGGCCCCGCCCCGCCCCGCAGGCCCGGGGAGTAGTAACCCCGCGCGGGCGGCCAGGGCCCCGCCACTTGATTCTGGAGGATTTGTTCTGGGGCTGCGGCCGCGGAGTCGCGGCGGCCGCAGGCGGGCTTCGGGGTGGGAGGAGGCGGCGGCGGCGCAGTCCCGGGCGGGCCCCGCCGCGGCCCAGACAGCCGGGACAGCCGCGAGGGGCGGCAGCACGCGGGGCGGCGCGCCGGGGATGCGGGACTAGCGGGCGGGCTGCCGGCGGCCGTCGGGGCGGCGAGGGCTCGCAGCGGGCGGGTCCCGGCGGGTCTTGGCCGGGCGCCGCCCCCCGCACCCTGAGGCCCCGGGCCCCGCCGCTTCTGCTTTCCCGCTTCTCGCGGCAGCGGCGGCCGAGGAGGCGCCCGCGCCGGCCGCCCGCCCGGCGCCCTGACGGCCGCTGTTATGCGTATTCCTGTAGACCCGAGCACCAGCCGCCGCTTCACACCTCCCTCCACGGCCTTCCCCTGCGGCGGCGGCGGCAAGATGGGCGAGAACAGCGGCGCGCTGAGCGCGCAGGCGGCCGTGGGGCCCGGCGGGCGCGCCCGACCCGAGGTGCGCTCGATGGTGGACGTGCTGGCGGACCACCCGGGCGAGCTCGTGCGCACCGACAGCCCCAACTTCCTCTGCTCCGTGCTGCCCTCGCACTGGCGCTGCAACAAGACGCTGCCCGTCGCCTTCAAGGTGAGTGCGGGGCCGGGGGCGGGAGGGCGCCGGCCCTGAGGCTCCGGGCGTCCCAGCTGCGTAGTTCGGAGCCTTGGGAGCCGCGGGAAGGGGAGGTGGCCGAGACCCCGCGGCGACACCCGGGCACCCGGGTCGGCCTCGCTGCGCGCTCGGCTCGGGGACCTCGGCGTCGCGTCTCGGATGCGCCCTGCACAGATGCGTTTTCAGGGGGTTGCCCCGCTCCACCTGGGCCATCGGCAGCTCTGCGTAGAGACGTTGGTGCGGAAACGGGCGGATGGGGTTTCCCGCGCCCTAACCCGGATTGCTCAGACACAGCCCTGCGGGCAACGGAGGAGAGGATCCCCAGACCCGGGTTAGGACACCGCGGGTGGGGTGCGGAGGGTGAAAGGGCCTGTCCTCCGCCGGCAGCACCCCTCCTCTCGCGCCGCTTCACAGACGCTTCCTGCTCACGCCCTCCACCTAGGGCTTCTGAAATTTTATGGGACGGCGCTAGGCCGGAATCGGGGCACTGCCTGGCAGACGTTTGCTAGGGGATATTCTGCGTCCCTAATGGCTGGTTGAGATTGGGGGACCCCCACCCCCACCCCGGCAGCCCCCAGCCATTCAGAGGACCTTTTTCTTTATGCCAGGGAGTAGGCGACTGTTTCATTTTCATTTTTTTAAGGGGGCAACGAGATGAAACGAAAACGCCTCGGTTTTCCCCTAAACCTCTCGCAGCTGCCGTGAGAAAAGGGCAGGGCAGGAAAGGCCGGCGGCTGGGGGTGGTGCTGCCCGAGGTGGCTGGAAGCAGCGGCCGCTGGCAGCTGAGGCCGTCCCTGCTCCCATTAAGACGACTCCAAATTGGAGGGGGGAAAAAAAAGGTTGAGTGGCTCTTTGAGGTCTCCCAGGTGACATCTTAAAATACCAGTGGGGAAAATCTCCCCGGGATGTGGGGAGGCCCATGTGATTTGAATCGTCAGATCGGAGGTTTTACTGTCACTTGGAGCTTAAAAGGAGTCTTTGAAATTAAAAGAAGACAGGATGTTGACAGGAAATCTGGCCTTTTTAATCAGACCCCAAACATTTTTCTCCTTGAAATTTTTACCATCTGGATCTTGAGTCCCTGCACGCGGCATCCACGTTTAAATGGCTGTCACTGTGTTTAAAGTCTGACTATTTTCAAAAGGCAGTCTGCCACTCCGTGCTCCTGGGGGTGAGAGGCTGGGGGAGGATGGCGTTTAGGGAGATAGCGCCACCCCTATCCTGCATTTTCAAGCAGGTGCGTTCTTTTGTCATCAAAAGCCCTCATCTCACTTTAAAGGCGTTTTCTGGTGACCCTTCTCAAAACACCAGTGAGTTTTGCATCCTGCATTTTCTCTGCATAACGAATTTAGGCTCTGCAGAGGCCAATAAACTGGGCCTGGTCCACATTTCAGGGCCACATTTCATGCCCTGCACAGCTCTTGTGTAAATTGAGTGGGGATAGCAGCTCTGTTGTTATTGTTGATTTTTTTTTTTTTTTTTTTTGAGATAGAGTCTCTCTGTCGCCAGGCTGGAGTGCAGTGGCACAATCTTGGCTCACTGCAACCTCTGCCTCCCGGGTTCAAGCAATTCTGCTTCAGCCTCCTGAATAGCTGGGATTACAGGCATGCGCCGGCACGCGCCACCACACCCAGCTAATTTTTTGTATTTTTAGTAGAGACGGGGTTTCACCATGTTGGCCAGGATGGTCTCGATCTCTTGACCTCGTGATCTGCCCACCTCGGCCTCCCAAAGTGCTGAGATTACAGGTTTGAGCCGCCATGCCCAGCCATATCGTTGATATTGTTTTTTACTTGGAGACTTCGTTGCTAGGGGCATGTTGATTCCGCTTTTGCTGCAGCTGAAGACAACAGGGGAACTGCTCCCCACATAGTGACTGAGCTGATTCACAGCTCCGGCTTAGACTTCGCTGAAAGGATGATTTCTTGGGACTAAGTTTAAGCAGTTGATCTGGGATTTTGGTGTGGAAGCTCGAGATTCCATCTTCTTGTTTTCGTGATATTTAGGGGAAGGTCCTTTTTGTTTTTAAGCCTCTTCTCCACCCTGCATTGGAGAAATACGCAGTGCGCCTGGGACCTAAGGGAGCTGCCCGGCCCGGCCCCTCCCCTCCTTTCCCTTGCCTCCCGCTTCCTTTCTAAGCTGTCCCCCTGCATCCCCCACGCTGTGTCCTCAGGTGGTGGCACTGGGGGATGTACCGGATGGCACGGTAGTGACCGTGATGGCAGGCAATGATGAGAACTACTCTGCGGAGCTACGCAACGCCTCGGCCGTCATGAAGAACCAGGTGGCCAGGTTCAACGACCTTCGCTTCGTGGGACGCAGTGGGCGAGGTAAGCGGGAGGGAGGTTCAGCATTGGCAAGGGCAGGGGCAGCGGGGAAGGAGGTTGAAAGAGGGGCCTTGGAATCCCAAAAAACAGGTCTCCAGACACAGCTTTGTCTAAAACAGTGATCTGTAATCCCGTAGAATGTTACAGATCCCTTTGAGGAGGTGAGGAAAGTTATAGTCTCTTGCCAGAAAAAGACAATGTTCTCCCAGTTTCTAGGGTTTACCAACTCCTGAACCCTTTCATGCCACTCCTCTTTAAACACCCCTGAGCTCACAAAAGATGCTGGCAGGAGATTGTGGATTCACAAGCTCAAAAGGGAGCTTAAAGGTCTTTCTGCAAGGGGGTTGCAAGATGAGTCCCTAGTCTGTAGCACCCAAGCACCCCAGCCACTCTCTCCATAGGGGGCAGAATCTCGCCCACACTCGGAGGCTCTTGCTCCCCAGCTGTGGTCTCCCAGATGCAGCTTCCCAGTGCCTTTGAGCCCTAGGTGGTCTGGAATGGAAGCTAACACAGCTGAATGTTGGGAAGCACAGCTCGAAGGCTGCCATCTCCTACCCGAGAGCCAAGGCTGGTGTGCCATCCTGTCTGTCTGATCGACCTTGGGCAGCACAAGGAGGGTGGGATGGGGTGGGCGCTGTTGAATGAGAGGCTTCTGCGACCTGAAACCCATCATCGCGTAACTCCTGGAAAAGTTAAGTGGGAAAGTCCTAGAAGCCCTGCCCCCGTGGAATGGAGGCCTGAGGGTCCGCTGCCCCTTTAAGGCCAGCCTGCCTGTGAGAAGTGGCTGAAGTGGGAGTTGCCCTTCCTAAGCACCAGGCCCACCTCTAGCTTTGTTAAGAAGTAAGCTGGTTTTCCTCTGCTCCCCAACGCCACACTGAAGCGGCTGAAGCAGAACTGTGCTTTTCATCACCAGTAAACAGGACCTTCTCAAGGTTCTAGTTGTCTCTGAGCTGCCAGCCCCGCTCACAAACGGGCATCTGGGCACCATTTTCTCCCTCTCCTGCCTTTCAATGTATACATCCAAATGTCAACCATATTTTGACTTTTCAGCATTAATTAAAACCAGGACATTATTTGCATGTAATAACTGTTTACTTGTTACTTTTTATGAAACTGAAATAGTTTACATTCTTTCAAACATTTCCTGTTCCTGTTGGCTCCCTTCCCCACGCACAGATTTCTTTCTAACGGTGCCCTTAACTGGTTGCAGGTTGGTGGATGGAAAATGTTTGCTTTTATGAATTAAGCTTTCATTGCTGCTCCTAATTAGTCTTCAAGTCCCTTTTGTCATCCCCAATATCTTGAAGCCTTTGCAACTTAATCCCAGCCCTGAGAGGAGAGTCACTGGTCCCTGCTTGGTGGCAGGCAAGGCTGACAGCTGACTGCGTGGCGGTGGCTGGGTCTGCTAGCTCAGGTGTGTGTTGGGGGCACTATAGCTGCTGTCGGTTGCGAGGCAGGCGGGCGGAAGGTGCTGTGGATCCAGGAGCCCAGCAAGTCATCGGGAACTTGATTCCCCCTTCCCACTCCCTCTCCTGGGGGGTGAGAAAGAAAGAGAAGAGGCGACGATTTTCTGAGTTACCGAGACCTTGCCTGGCACACTTGTTCTGCACACTGAGAATGATTTTGTGTGTGTGTGGTTTTCACGCCCACAGACTTTGTGCTCCCCCGCTGGGCCTGCAGGGAGGAAGATGGATTTCCAAGGCTTTGGCTGGGAGCTGGTCCTTGTAGCAGGCATGGCCGAGGCTGGGGTTGTGGCTCTGGGAGATGCCAGAGGCTGAGTTTATAAACCATTCTCTCATCCATCTTCTCTCAGTGGTCCGAAACCAGTCTCTGGTCCTGGGAGGCAGGAAGTGCTCTGAGGAGGAGTTCCGACGTCTGAGGAACTCTGGCTAAGGCGTTCAGTCTTCAAAGGCTTGAGGTCTTTAGGAGCCTGCATTCTAGTATCAGCCGCCCTGCCTTTGAGTCCCAGCTCTGCTAATGACTTGTGGATGACATTGGGCAAATGGCTTAACCTCTCTGTGCCTCGGTTTCCTCATCTGTGAGGTGGGGATAATAATGGGACTTACCTCATGAGATTTGGGGAAGGTTAGGGAAATTGATACAAGTGTATCAGCTGGCATATACTGAGAGCTGGATACATGTTAGAGATTTTGTTACTTCAAATGCTTGGGACTGGAGGAGGACTTTGAGGTCCCTTTGAGTGGTGACAGCCACTGATTCTCTGATTACCATGCGGTTTGGGCGGGGGTGGGGGAAACCCAGAAGGTATGAACTGCTGAGTGGGAGAGGTGGAGGCGGTTGGCAGGGAGGAAGGAGGGAGCCGGGTCCGCTGGCAGGCAGACACACATCTGCGGTGCCCATCCTGCCGACTGGGAAATTCCCACCTGAGAGAACAGTCCGTGGTTGACAGTGACAATCTGGGCCACTCTAGGAGATCGGGACACTGGGAGTTAAGATTGGAGGTTGGGACCCAGAATCCTTGCCTGGCTCTCTGACTTCTGCCAGAACTGAGAAGTCTGATGGAAAGCTCTGCTCGTTTCCTCAATTCTTAGTCCTGTATTCTGTCCGAATTCCAGGAAGATGGCTTTCCGTGAAAGACATCCACCCAGTAATACCCCAGAGCGCTCACGATAGGGCTGAAGGTGTGAACCAAGAAAAGGAAGGGAAGAAATCCAGGTCGTTGCTCCTGCAGTGATTACTGCCGAGGCCCCTGCCCCACCAGACAGAAGGAGGCTTTCTTACAATACAGTATTTTGTATCAAGCCTTACATTGAAATTTGTAAATAATGTAACCTATGTATTTACAGGCGGTTGCAAACTATGTTACTCCATAGCTATGACGGAGGAAAAAAGGGAAAGTAATTTATAATAAAACACTGATTTGAATATGTAAATGTTAGGGCCAGAGGACTCCATGAGGTGGACGAATGCTGTCCTCACAGAAGCCCACAGCAGAGGGAACAGGCAGAGTGGCAGGACTCCGTCTGAACATGGCCTTGCTGCCAATACCAGGACTTTCTGAAGTTGTCAACAACTCTTGGCAAAGCTGCGAACAAAATTTCAAAAAAAAAAAAAACAACAAAAACTGTCTTTCCTACTGGAAAATTCAGTAGATATTAAAAGTGCCAAAAAAAATCCCTTGTTTTATGTAAAATCGAATTAGGTTCATGACTCAGAGAATTTTTTTTTTCTTTTGCTTTTTGTTGGGACAAGGTGCTCTGTCACCCGGGCTGGGGTGCAGTGGTGCGATCACTGCAGCCTCCACCTCCTGGGCTCAAGCAGTCCTCCCACCTCAGTGGCTGGGACTATAGGCAGACACCGCCACACTCGACTGATTTTTTTTAAATCATATTTTGTAGAGATGGGGGTGGTGTTCACTGTGTTGCTCAGGCTGGTCTTGAACTCCTGGACTCAAGTGATCCTCCTGCCTTGGCCTCTCAAAGTGTTGGGATTACAGGCGTGAGTCACCAAGCCCAGCCAGAGAACTTTTATGAGCAAGTTTTACCCTCCCAGGAAGAATGAATCTTCACTGCCCTGGGCAGTGCTGGGCACTGGCGTCCCCCTCCGCATACACACACCCCACTCCTAATGCTGGCAGTGACACCCCAGCACTGCGTTGACCACATGCCACCACACATCCCCAAAATGCCCTCTAGCAGGCGGCCACTGGCCTGGGTGAAAATGAAAAGCACATGAGCTCCACAGCTGTGATCAACTGGTTAAAAAGCAACAGTGTGGACAGAGATTTGGGGTGCAGTGTGCCGGTGCAGGCTGAGGGGCACCGCTGGTTGGGGGAGAGATGGATGGCTTCTTGATCATCTTCTTGAAGTTGAGAAAATCCCGAGGTCCCCTGAGACTGAGACATGTCTCCTCCCCCGCCCATGCAGCTCTGGTGGGGAGGGAGGTCACCTTAGACACATAGGAACACAGGCAGAGAGGCTCAAGAACTTGCCTGAGGCCACGCTGCCAACCCCGCTGCTGAATGATGGGTCCAGGATGAGTTTCTGGAGCCCTAAAGGAAACCCATTTCCCAGCCCGAGCCTTCTCCCCTGCAACCAGGGCCAGCCCTCCGAGAGCCTGAGTTTGCACTTCCTGGGCTCCTGACAGGACTGCAGATTCGCCCAGGGCTCCTGCATGGAGTTATATCTAGAGGCTGAGAGACAGAGATGCATGGGTTTGCCGCTGCCAGGCAGAGAGAGCTGGGCAGGGCCAGGGGAGCTGAGGGGCACTCAGGGAGACCTCTTTCTCCCAGCCCTGGTTCCCAGGCTCTCTGTCTCCAGTGGTCCTGGTCCCCATGCCTGCCCCGTCCTCTCACTCCTTCTCTCAGGCCCCACACTTCTCCTTTATACCCGGGACAGGTGGGGACAGGCTCAGAAGCTGGTGGAAGCCACTGAGGAGTGCTGGTGACCTCAGGGGTGGCATGTGGTTTACTACCTGGTAGAGGTGGGGGCTTCTCACTGCTCAGGAGCAGGACCTTAGTACCTGTGTGGAGGGGCAGGCTCTGGCACATTCTAACTTTTCTGAGTCCTGCCTGGATACTGTGTGACCTGCTCAACTCACTGCTCCTCTTTGAGCCTCAGTTTTCTCATCTGCAAAATGAGAGCCATTATCTCTGCCCTTAATTTATTTTACAAATGTTGTTGAGTACCTACTGTGTGCCAGATGCCATCCTAAGGGCTGGAGACACAGCATGAACAAGACAAAAACATCGGCCCCTGGGGAGTTTATAATCTAGTGGAAGGAAACAAAATGAGTAGATGGATTATTAAAAGCAATACGCATCGTGGGAAAATTCTAGCAGGTGCAGGGAATAGAGAAAGGGAATGGGAGGCCTGTGATACTTCAGACTGAGCTGCTTCGCCTTTTTGTTTTGTTGTTGTTGTTGTTGTTTCGTCTTTTTTTTTTTTTAACCCCATGGGCCCCTTTGCTATCTGATGAAGAAACCCACACACCTTTCTCAGGATAAGGATTTTTTTAAGATATAAAATCAAATCCAAAGTATTACAGTGGAAACCAGTTCTATTAAAACATGGCAAAATTGTGGTAAATATGCTGCTTTGCTCAATGTATTAAATAAGAGCTAGCATTGGGTTTAATGATGACCGTGGTTTTGAAGTTGTGACGAGCATAAAAGATATTTAGAGAAACCTGCAGCAGCTGTAACGTGAGATGTAAGTATCTGTGACGTCTGTTGGCGACAAGGTCACAGGTACAGCTGATAATACCTCTGTGATTCGTTGCCTACGCTCATACTTGAGAGTGATGCTAAATTTCAGTCAGAGGTTAGGGACAATACAATTGTAATGTTTTCCTATCCCAGTTCTCAGGCTCACTCAATTATACAGAGCCAAGATAAAAATGCCTGCCAGGTGTAGTGGCTCATGCTTGTAATCCCAACACTTTGGGAGGCCAAGGCGGGAGGGTCACTTGAGCCTAGGAGTTCAAGACCAGCCTGGGCACATAGTAAAACCTTGTCTCTACAAAAAAAGAAAAAGGAAAGAAGAAAAAAAAAAAAAAAAGAAAACAAATAGCCAGGCATGGTGGTGCTCACCTGTTGTCTTAGCTGCTCAGGAGGCTGAAACAGGAGGGTGGCTTGAGCCTGGGAGGTCCAGACTGCAGTGAGCTATGATCATGCCACTGCACTCCAACCTAGGTGGAAGAGCGAGACCCTGTCTCAAAAAAATAAATTAATTAATTAAATAAAATTTAAAATGCCCACTTTAGGTAAAGTGACCAGGGAAGGCCTGACTGAGAAGGTGAGAGGCCTGAAGGAGCGGTTTAGTAAACTTTCACTTGCTGCTGTGGGCCTGGGGCCCTGTGGCAAGGCACTGGGGCCCATTCATCTTCTGTATCTGGATTCTGGCCCCTAGGGCTCTGGGCTGTCAGAACCAAGAAGGTGCTGGACAACACTGGCAGGGTCAGAGGCTCAGGGACCCCAGGAGAGTACTGAGCTGGTTGGAGGAGGAAGGGGTGCAGGAGAGAAATGACCTCAGAGTGAGGACGGGCAGTAGGAGGGGTCAGGCAGGGAGCCTGAGGCATCTGCTGGGCACTTCGCTAGACCATCTGCACTTTCTGCTTCTAGAAATCATGCAAAGTGCCCCTGTGACCTGATAGTGGGAGAGCACTATTCTGACCTGGGGCTCCAGGGGCAAGTGCTGGCTGGCTTAGGAAGAGACTTCCAGAGAAGCGCCTCGCTTCCCAGTTGGAGCCACACGTCAGTGGGTCTTGAGATTGAAACTCCGCCTGGTGTCTCAGAGGACCTCTCGTTCTGTGGCGTGGCTCCTGGCAGCGTAGCTGGTTTAATTTTGTTCTGGATTCTCCTGCCTCTGGGGCTGGAATTTTCACTTGATAGTTGGCCCGCAGGTACCTGGCCATGCAGAGACAACTGCGAGATCCTGGCCTCCACCCTGAGCTTCATCTCCCACCTGCAATGTGCGGATGTTGAAACCTACCTGCTCGTCTCGGAGGGTTGGCGGAGGGGGATAGGAAGACATTACAGTTGAATTGTCCCTAACCTCTGACTGAAATTGTGATCACTCCTGCGCTTGGGCAGCCTCCCTTGGTCCCTCGGTGGCCATCCTGTGCCAGCCCTGGGGTGCGGGTGGCATGTGCCAGACCATTGGCCCTATTGACAGGGAGTTCCCAGGCCCGTATGTGGGATCCAGAGCCAGGGATGGGGGATAAAGTCTAGTTTGGGGGATCCGCAAACCCCGCCCCCCCCCAACTCCGGGCCACTAATCTTGTATGGCATGAGACTGTGGATCATAACAGAATAGGGCGAGAGGAGAACTCTTCCCAAGACCGTAGGAAGACTGCATTGCCCTTTGAGGAAAAATCCTTATCCTTTACCATGCCAACCAGCAAACTCCCAGACACGTTAGAGAATTCACTGTAGAAAGTAGAGAGAACACTGTCGAAAGTAAATCTTGATAAACTGCTTTCTACACGGAGAAACCAGTCTAAACATAAAACGGTAGGAGAACGAGAAATAGAAGTGAAAATGAAAAACCGCCCAGCGTGAGAAGGCGAACTGTGCAGGCTGGTGACCCGGGGAACTGATGGCCACAAATACAGCATGGAAAGTATTAACAAGCTTCATGTATAGCAATTTTTAAAAGGCACTAAAACCTTCACAGGAAAGTAAAAGAGCATGAAGCAATAATTAGTGTTGGATTATGATGGATATGATCATATAAAAGTTTCAGTCTCACTAGTAATAGAAAAAAGGCAAACAAAATCAAGAGCGTGTAAAAGATCTTCCATCTTGATAGACACATCCCTGGGGTGTGACGCAGCCTCACAGGCGAGGGTGACGACTCAGTCTCTCCAGAGAGTCATCTCACTCCAAGAGGGATCCATGCCCATAATATGTCCCAAGCCTCTGATGCCGTGAAATCACTCACCGCTTCTTGGAATCTATTCTAAGGAAATAAGCAGAGATGCAGACAAAGATGTTTATAAATAGAAGGCCACTTTCATTTTATTTTAAATGGTAAAAAAAAATATATAGTATTTTAAAAGTTTTTTCCCCCTCTCAGGAATTTTGAATGGAGACTTTGGAGCCAAATGTCTATCTAAAAATAGAAAAGCATTCTGGAAATAGCAGTTGTGTCTACAGAAGAAATGTCTACAGCTCCCAAATCAGTCCTTTTTCAGCTCCAGCTGCACACATCAATAAGAAATTAGCAACCATGTAAATACCCGGGAGTAAGGAGGTAGATAAATAAAAGATGAGGCTTCCGTGAGTTGAAATATTTTACAGTCATTAAAAATGAAGTTTATGGAGAAGTTTTAATGACGTGGGAAAGTGCTTCTGATGTGATGTTAAATGAAGAAGAAAGACAGTATGAAAATCCGTATTTTAGTACCACTGCTACTGTGTAAATATACAAACCCATACAAAAAGAACTGGAAGAGAAAACACCCAAATGATAATGGTGTTTATCTCTGCCTAGTGGAACCGTGGGAGGGTTTTTTCTTCTTTGTTTATATTTTCTATGTTCTTGAATTTTTCTACAAAGATCAACAATTACTTTCGGAAAAGAGAATATGCCCATCCTGCTCCCCGCCACAAAATGGTGTTTCTGAATAGAAGAGGCAGCAGAAAGGCCAAGAAGCAGGGAAGAAATGAGCCAGGGTCACCACGGCAAGGGGTGGAGGGTGGCAAAGTTGGTGTCAGACCCCCCAGGAGCCTTGAATGCCAAGCCTGGCAGCTTGAATTTCACACTACCCAGGTTCAAAGAAGACAGAGTACCCCTTCTTGAAAGTTAGGGGCTTCCAGGGGTAGGTACAGGTGGGAGAGCAGGGTGTTGTGGAAGTTTCCAGGTGCCAACCGCTTGCCTCTATCCCTCACTCTCCCCAGGGAAGAGTTTCACTCTGACTATCACTGTGTTCACCAACCCCACCCAAGTGGCCACCTACCACCGAGCCATCAAGGTGACCGTGGACGGACCCCGGGAGCCCAGACGTAAGTGCCACCGAGCCCCTGCGTGGGGGAGGAGGATCCAGCGGGGGAAGGACGGCAGCTAGGTCAGAGAGATGGAGCCCTCTTGGGGCGTTGCAGTCCTTGGCTCTGTCCCCCACACACTGTGCGCCTGCTGGAAAACCTTAAACCCTCTGGGCTTTAGCCCCTAGACTGTGGGAGGCGAGTGAGGAGGCTGGGAGTGGGGACAGCTGTCCATGGGGACTGCTGAGGGAGTCAAGGGAAGGAAAAGTTTAGAGAAAGCTTTCAGATGTGGCATGTGTGGAGTGCTTGTGCGTTTCTGGGTGGAGGTTGGGCCAGGCTTGCTTTACTCTGCCCCCAGCTTCTCTGCCGGTGGCTGAGGGATGCATGGAGGCCAGGAGTGCCCAAAAGTCAGGGACTGGCCTGGCTGTGAGGCCAGGTCCTCTCCCTGGAAACTGGGTCTTTGAATCTTAGCATGTGACTTGATCAGGTCACCCAGAGCCCGGGCACTCGGATCCTCTGACCCACACAAGCAATATCAGGACTGCAAATTTGATTCCACAAATATTCACTGGGCACCTGCTATGAGCAGGAAGCCCTGGTCCATCAAAGCGAGTTTGTGTTTAATTCTTCTGCTTGCTGAAGGTCAGATTAAGGCTGGGGAAGTGGGAGGGGAGGCCTAGGCTCTGTGTCTGCAGAATGAATGAAATGAATGAAACAGAGCCAGCCAACTTCCTGAGCTCCATCCCACCTCCCTGAGGCATTCTCAGCTTGGTACATTGAGGGTTGGCCTGCCTCTCTCTTTCTCAGAAATGTGACCCTTTGCAGTTTAGAAAACTTTTTTGCAATCACTATTGAATGGGATCCTCGTGACAGCAGAGCCAAAGGGGTCACCCAAGTCCCAGTGAGGAGAGAACCCAGGCCTGAGGGAGTTGGGTACCTGAACAGCACCTTATGCTGTGCCAGGTGTGGGGAGGTGCCCCAGGCCTCAGTCTTCCCAAAGGCAAGATTCTAGGCTGAGCAGGCTTGGGGCAGGAGGCCTGACCCTAGGCTGGACCCTCCCTTCTCGGGAGTCAGCTGGGTCTGACCCCCCATCATCTGATTCCTGGGCCCATCCCAGCCTCTGGCCACTTGGGAAAGGCTTGGAGCTGAGCCCAGCAGCCCTGGAAGAGTCTCCCTCCAGGCCTCTGAGGGTCACCTCTGCCAGCCCTGAGCTCCTGCATGCATCCTCAAGCCTGCACCATCCGCTCCCAGCCAGCACTCGCTCTGGCCACACTCCTGCGAGTTCCCTCCTGCCGGGATCAGACATGGATGGGCCCATGCTCTTGGCCTTGGGCTTCATGGCCCTAGGCAGGTTGTGTCTTCTTTTTGGCCTCAGTTTTGTCATCTGAGAACTGGATCCGTGACTGCAGGAGTCTCAAGGAGGTGGCTGGGAGTCCTTGTGAGCCACAGACCACCATAGCGCAGAGAGCAGCTTCCGAGCCAGTCTTCTTGGCTATGGGGTCTTCGGCAAGTCATCTCCATGCCTCAGTTTCCTGGTCTGAAAAATGAGATTCACACAAGCAGCTGCCTCATCATGCTATTTCGAGGAAACAGTGGCTTAACCTATTGAAAGCACTTACCAGTGGGGGTGGGCAGATAAGCAGTCACTTTAGCCAAAGCTGTTATCTGCGGTGTGACCTAGGGCAAGTCATTGACCTCTCTGGGCCGAAGCTTTCTCCTCCGTGATGTGTGATGATGCCACCCACTTGCAGGCCTGGAGATCAGGGGCAACACGTGGACAGCACATGGCTGTAACACCGAGAGGTCCCATGAGTCACTGGGTCCACAGTGTTCTGTCATCCCCGGTACCCAGCCCCCTTTCTGCACTCCCACCACACCATTTGTCAATGGTGGGCTCTCTCAGGGGCAGCAGCAGGGCGGCTGCCTTGGTACCAGAGGTGCAGGCATCAAGTCTCCATTGAAGGAGGTGGCAGCCCTGCCCTACGTCTCCAGGGGCAGGCAGGAGCAGCATGGACAAGAGCGGCAGTTGGGCTCCCAGTGGTGATGTGGCCCTTGGGAGCCACTCCAGAAAGAGGGGAGCACTGGGTTGGTAGAGGCACGGGACAGGAGTCTTGATGCTTGGTGGCAAGATGCTGAGGTACTGGGCAATGCTGGCACCTCTGACAGTCCTCCATGCTCTCAGCGCAGTCCACCCCAGAGCCGCCCACCCCACCCTGCCCTGCTGGGGCCCCTGGATGGGCCTGGAGACTGAGCCCTGCCTGTGGGAGAGTCCAGTGGAATCCCCTCCTGCTCTTCCCTGCCTGGCTCTCCCAGACCTGAGTTGGCCCCTTCTGGGGTGAGCTGGGAGGGAGAGCAGTGGCTCAGGACGAGGCAATAAGAGGAAGGGGTAGAGGCTGGGCCTGGAGACCCACGGCATCAGAGGCCGGGCTTGCTGCATGACCTGAGACAGGTGGTCTCCCTCTCTGGGCCCTGGCAGGGGCTGGATCAGTGGTTTGATTTGTAGAAGAGAGTAGAGATGGGGTTGGGGGGGCAACCTACCAGGTCCCCCATTCTTAGGACCTGCCTGCTCTTGTCCCAGGCATATTCTGGCCCTAAGATCGGGTCCCACTCATGCCCTGGTTTGCGGCCCCACTCCTTTGTCTTTGACCTTGGACAAATCTTTGGCCTTTCGGGTCCTCAGTGTCCCCATCTATAAGAGTGAAGGGACCAGCTCAGCAGCTCCTGATCACTGGGCAACCCCCTCCCTGTGCCAGGCCCTGTGCAAAATTCCCATTAACTGATCTCTTGGGTAGCCCCAGGAGAAGATAGAGGCCAGGGCATAAAACCTCTTGCCCAAGGTGACCATCGGCACACTATGGGGGCTCCAACCCAGGGCTCAGGGAAGTGAGGACCATTTGGAAGGGCCTTTTGGCCTCTGTGTGCTCAGCTGTGAAATGGGTGGTATTGGTGTCTGCCTGGGGGAGTCACTGTGAGGGTTGACTGAGTTTCCCATGGCCTGGCCCCGGGAAGTGCCCCACCAGCCTCCTGGGTGTTACGGGCCTTTGGTGCTCCTGGACTTCCTTTCCCAGCAGTTTTTCCTGTTTTGCCACCTCCGACCCTCTGAAACCTGAGCCTGCTGTGGGGTGAAGTGGGATTAGGGTCTGGTCCTGGGAGCCAAGGACTGGGAATCTGTAGATCCCTGAGGCCGGCTGTGGGTTCTGCGGCTGGGTCGTTCCCCTCTGGTGCCCAGCAGAGTGTGCCCGGCCTGCAGCCAGGTGGCCAGCTGGGTTTGAAGGCTGGCTTGGTGGCTTCCTGCCTGTGTGGCCTTGGTTTCTGAGGTTCTCAGTGCTGGTGTCCCTCAGAGTCACTGGGGGCTGGTTAAGAAGCAGGTTGCTGAGCCGGGTCCAGGATCCCAGCGGGGGGGCTGTGGCACCTGGCAAGTCTGGCATGGACCTCAGCAGGGGAACGGCCCTCGCACCCATCTAGCCTGTGCCTGTTACCCCTGCCCCACTCTTGCATGCCCTCCTCTTGCACACCCTGCTTTGGCCACCCTGGACTCCTGGCTGGTCTTGGAACTTGCCAGGGACACTCATGCCCCGGGGCCTTTGCACTGCTCTTCCTTCCCCTGGAACACTCCTCCGCAGACACGCCCGGATGCCTGGCTCGCTCCTTCTACCCGAAGCCTCTGCACTTCTCAGCCGAACCCCTGTTCCAAGTGGCACACACACACAGCCTTCCTCACCTCTCCCCCTTTTTTTTCCTGGCTTTTACGTACCCCAAGCACTTACCACCTTCTAAGATGCTATCTAGTTTGATCGTTTGTTTCATTTATTACTCATCTCTCTTGTATTGTTTTGTTTTTTCATACGGGGTCTCGCTCTGTTGCCCAGGCTGGAGCGCAGTGGCTTGATCTCAGCTCACGGCAACCTCTGCCTCCCAGGTTAGGATTCTCCTGCCTCGGCCTCCCGAGCAGCTGGGATTACAGGCGCCCACCACCATGCCCAGCTAATTTTCCTGTTTTTAATAAAAGAGACGGGGTTTCACCGTGTTGGCCAGGCTGGTCTTGAACTCCTGACCTCAAGTGATCTACCCACCTCAGCCTTCCAAAATGCTGGGCTGACAGGCATGAGCCACCTCACCTGGCCCCCTATTGTTTATGCTCTACAAGGGCAGAGTTCTTTCCTCTGGTTTGCCAGGACCACGTATCAATAGACCCCAGGAATGCAGGCAGGAGCCTTTCATAGTTGGTCCATTAATCGTTGATGAATAAGCAAATGATCTGTTAATGTCAATTTTGAGTAGCGGGAAGTCCTATGAAGAAAAATAAAGCTGGAAGGAGTGGAGCCTGCAGGGGATGGGACAAGGGGTGGGGCCTCCTAAAGAAGTGACCTTTGAGCGAGGGCCCGAAGTGAGCAGCCAGCAGAGTGTGGCTGCCGAGGGTTTGGCGTGAGCAGGAGAAGTGACCTGAAGCCCACAGTTGGGCCTTTGAGGGCCTTAGAGTTTCTGCAGTTTCTTCCCAGGCTGAGGAGAGGCAACTACTCCCGGCTCCCAAGATCCCCACAACCCCCAGGAGTCCCCTGGACTAGGGGCAGGGCTAGGGGAGGAGTCTGCCCAGCAGGAGGGAAGGGGTTAACCGCAGACCTCCCGGGTTCTCCTAATCAACCCCAGGCCGCTGGAAGCCCCACTTGCAGCCCTGGGAGGGAGCCGCTGGCCTCCCTGCCCGCTGGCCCCTGGCCAGCCCGTTTCCCTGCCCAGCCACCGACCCGGCTTTCATCTGCTCACAGGGGGCCGATTCACGGCAGACCACCCCAGGCCCGGCACCCGCCTGCTATTCCGCGAGGCTGTTAAGAGTCGGGTGTAAATCTCCTGACAGGCCGCAGAGCCGGCCTCAGGCCCGGCGCCCTACCCTGCTGCTGGGCAGACAGTGGCTGCTGTGTCTGGGTCACAGACGCACCAGGCGGCCGAGGAGGCTGCCCAGTGGCTTCAGATGGGTGAACGGCCTGGTCATTGGGGACCACACTGTCCTCAGCAGACGATGCTCT